ATTTTTCAAACTTCTTCGAACACTGTTCGAAGAAAAGTTTGCCAATATTCAATTTCAAATTTTATATCATTCTAAAGGGCAAGGCCATTCCTTATTATTATTGAGTAATGATTTTTTAAAGTTAAAGTATTTTAAATTGATTTAAATTAGAAAAAAATTATTTAGTTCAAAGTGTGTGGACTTTTTTTTTGTCACCTTGTGTAATAATTACCTCTTCTCTAAGAAAGTCTTGCCATTGATGTAATTCTTCCCCATCGCAGTGGCCTTCCAGGCGAAATAGGCCCCCGAAGGGTCACACTGGAACAAATAGGGCCGTCCACTGTCCCACCCGCAGATCAGCAAAGACACCCCAAAGGGCCTCACGCCCCCCGATTGCGTGTACTCCTGCATGACAGCCGCCACACGTTGCACCAGCTGCACCGTGGGGATGGCCTCCCTGTAGGTGAGGAAATACTTCTGGGCCATTTTTCGGGCCTGTTTCACCAACAATCTATAATCGGGGCCCATCCCCGAGTAAATCATTCCAATGTGTTTGGTTATCATCTCGACTTTGTGCACACTGTGTTCGTCGTAAAGAATCGATTTGTGTTTATTTTCGGTGGCAATAACGACTCCATTACACGCTGGAAAAGACTCGTGTGAGCAAAAGTGTCAAAGGGGGGACTTGGGGTACCTTTGATCCCCACGGAGGGGGCGCCTGCGGCCACGGCAGCCAACGCATACTCAATCTGGACCAGTTTTCCTGAAGGGCTAAAAGTGAGGTTATGAGGGGAAAATTGACGTAAAAACTGAACGAAATTATTTCATAATAATAATTAACTAACTCTAATAAGAAACTTATTATTTACCTGAAAGTAGTCAGAGAAAAACTATACCGCTCTGATGCCATGATTACTTGCAAAACAAACTGTTTTTGTGTTGGTGACACTGCTTGTCAACTTTTCGGCAAATCATTGGTGACTATGCGCTACAGGAAACTGTAAAAGTTAGAGAGTTGTTTTTTAACAGCAAGATGTTGTAATTGTTATTTTGTTGTAATAAAACACAATTTAAATATGTTTACAATTATTTTATATGCTAAATTATCAATATTTTTAGCGTCATCTGAGTGAAAATACTTTACAGGAAACTGTGAGAGTTAAAAAATTACAAGATTTTATTTTGAAAATTACTTCATAAACTTTTTTCTAGTAAAACACAAATTAAAAAATAAGTTTACAATTATTTTATTTGTTAAATGAGACAGTAAAAATAAAATATTAACAGTGTCACCAACTTCAAAAAACCGTTTTTGTTTTGTTATTTCACCTGTTTATTTATTTAAATAAAATATGAGTAATCTAAACTGACAAGCATAATACCGGGTTAAAGCCACTAATTTGGTTAAATAACTCTATTTTTAAATAATTGAAAATATTAATTCAAAAAATTAATCATAGTTTTTATTATTAATCATCACAGTTGCTGTGCCCTACAGAAAACTGTAAAAGTTAAAAAGTTGCTTTTTTGGGCAAGATATTAAGTGATTGTGTATTTAAAAATTATTTTATTATTATTATTTTAGTAAAACACAAATAAAATATGTTTGTAATTATTTTATATGTCAAATTATTAATCTTTTTAGCGTCATCTATACAATCTTTGCTTCACTAAGTAAAACATTTTACAGGGAACTGTAGAAACTAAAAAATTGCTTTTTTAAGTGCAAGATATCAGGCAATTATGCATTGAAAAATTACATCATAGACTTTTTTTTTTCTAGTAAAACACAAATTGAATAGGTTTATTTTATTTGTCAAATAAAGCAGTAAAAAATAAATTTTTAACAGAGTTATCAACATTGAAAATCTTTTTTTTTGTTTTGTTATTTTATTTGTTTATTTATTTAAATAAAAGCATAATAATAGTTTAAAGCCATTAATTTAGTTAAATAACTCCATTTTTGAATAATTGAAAAATTAATTCAAAAAATTAATCATACTTTTTATAATTCATCATCAAAGTTGCTGTGCACTGCAGGAAACTGTAAAAGTTAAAAAGTTGTTTTTTGGGCATGATATTAAGTAATTGTGTATTTAAAAAATATTTTATTATTTTTGTTTATAATAAAAGACAAATTAAATATGTTTACAATTATTTTATTTGTCAAATAAGACAGTAAAAATAAATTATTAACAGTGTCACCAACATTAAGAAACCGTTCTTGTTTTGTTATTTTACCTGTTTTTTATTTAAATAAAATATGAGTAATTTAAGCTGACAAGCATAATATCGGGTTAAGACTACTAATTTGGTTAAATAACTTTATTTTGAAATAAATAAAAATATTAATTAAAAAAAATGCTGTGCGCTACAGGAAACTGTAAAAGTTGAAAAGTTGCTTTTTTGGGTAAGTTATTAAGTAATTGTGTATTTAAGAATTATATTAACTTTTTTTTCTAACAAAACACAAATTAAATTTGTTTACTATTATCTTATGTGTCAAATAAATCAGTAAAAAAATAATCATAAACAACAGTGTCACCAACATTAAAAACACAGTTTTTTTGTATATCGTTATTTTACCTGTTTATTTTTTTTTAATAAAATATGAGTAATCCAAACTGACAACCATAATACCAAGTTAAAGCCACTAATTTGGTCAAATAACTCTATTTTTGAATAATTGAAAATATTAATTCAAAAAATTAAATAGTTTTTATTATTAATCATCAAAGTTGCTGTGCACTACAGAAAACTGTAAAAGTTGAAAAGTTGCTTTTTTGGGCAAGATATTAAGTGATTGTGTATTTAAAAATTACTTTACTATTATTATTTTAATAAAACACAAATTAAATATGTTTGTAATTATTTTATTTGTCAAATTATTAATCTTTTTAGCGTCATCTATACAATCTTTGCTTCACTAAATAAAACATTTTACAGGGAACTGTAGAAACTAAAAAAATGCTTTTTTAAGTGCAAGATATCAGGCAATTATGCATTTAAAAATTACATCATAGACTTTTTTTTCTAATAAAACACAATTTGAATAAGTTTATTTTATTTTTCAAATAAAGCAGTAAAAAGTAAATTATTAAAAACATTAA